GACTAACATACTGATTATAGTTATAGGTAAATAGATGTCTCCCATAAACATATAGTTACAGGAAGACACAGTCCTTGTAAGCATTGTTACATTACTAATGTTTACTTAACTTTGTTTTTAGTTTAGATGAAGTAAAAGTGAATTCCTACTCAAATACTTTCCAAATGACTTCAATTAGTGAAGCTGAAATTTTCAGTGATTTACCATATGAACCTTGCAGCTACAATGATGATCTTTAGTAAATGGATTTTGAATGGCATTGCTAAATGACATTGAGACATGAGTGAGTATGAAACTTATGGAATGGTACTTTATTTCTCTGTTCCCTTGGAAATGAAGGGAATGTCCTGACCTTAGTAAGGCAGTGCCGGCCACTGGATAATACCCCACATTTGTGAAGTACTTTATTCCATCAGTGTAGAAGCACCAAGACCCAAGAGAGCCCTGGAAAGGGCAAGCCACTCTGCCATCCATCATTTTCTCTCAGTTTTTGGTCCCGTTCTATTCTGAGTCTCTCTCAGACTGCTAGTTGTCATGAGTTCTGCACACACCCTGAGCGTTTCTAAGATACCAGCCCCTGGAACCTTCCAAGCTCTATCTAGAGCAAGACACTCCCAGATCAATACCAGTGTCTGAGTGCCAAGTGATAAGGTCAGTGAATTCTGTCATGAAGAATCTGGAGAAGAATTCAATACAAGTGAAAAAAAAAAAAAACCATGCCATTTTGAGGAAGTTCTTCCAGTGGAGCACTTTACCATACTGCTAGATGTGAAACCCATGTCAGAAACTCAGCTGCTTATACTCTCAGTGAGTTTTACTTCCACTACATTTTTCTAAGGGGAAGAAAAAACTGGCTTTGGCAAAGCAGGTGTGAGAATTAAAGAAGGCCTTCCTATTCTCAGAGAGGAAGGGCTGTTTTACCACAGTCTCTCACCGCATCAACCCAGACTGCCAGAAAGAAGTCTTCTCACAGCAGGGTTCTCAGAAGCCCCATCAATCATTTGCTTATATATCTTTCAACAGATTCCACCCGTCATCTATTTTAGAAGAAGCCACTCGAAGCATTAGCTCTAACCTGAGTACACAGCTTTCATACAAGCAACTTGGAGGAGTCAAACCACCACCAAGAGAAAACTGTCTGTCAAACGAATAAAGTATAAGTCAGATCCTTAGAGCTTTTGCTTTTACTTTGAGTCACGGCATTTCTAAGATGTAAGACCTTGGGGCTGTATTCAGGAAACTCTTAATTAAAAAGCCCTTCAAAATCTTTGTTTTCCCCTTGAGTCATGAGCATTTCTGTGTCTGAAGTTTTTGCTGCTTCAGCCAATAGATTTTTTAATTAAAATAATAACAACAATTTCCAGGAAAGTAAGTTGGAAAGTTGGAAGTTGTGTATTTTTGCATTCTGTACTCAAAACAAATTTGCATAAATCTAGAGAATATGTGAGTCGAAAGATGTTAATACAATTTTATCAAGCAGAAGTAGAAGAGTACCCACACACTAGCTAGCAATGTATTTGGTCAATTTAATCTCTTTCCTTGATTAAATATCAGCATAACAGACTGAAGATAGATTCATGAGGGTGGGTTTACTTCCTGCTTGTGCTCTCATGGTCCAATAAAGCAATCTATATTGTCCAAGACAACTAAAGGGATAGAACAACTGTCTCCAAGAATAGGAGATTATACTTGCATTGTCTTGATAGACTTCCAAGATTTATAGTTTACTTACAGTGTCATACCATGGATTCCAGCTGTCTGGCTTGAAGGGCTGGGTGAAGGATGGAGAGAGGAATTTCAGTGCTAGTTTTGTATCTATCTAGTTGGATTTATTAACAACTGTTGGATGTTAGGGTGGTTTAAAAGTCACTGGTTGCATCTAATTTACTGCTCCATGCCACTCTGTAGAAGAGCGTGGAGCTCAATAAATAATTATTAACAAGATATTTTACCTACAAGGCATGTTAGATGCTGAGGCACCCATTCCTAACTTCAACACTGATGTTGATATATATCTATGTTCATGTGTATGAACAACACAGAGCAAATAAACTGCCATACAGGGATGGGAAGATCCTGCAAAGGCCAAGGCAGTAGTGAAAAAGTAGTCCTTCAGACTGACAGGAATTCTGCTCCAGTCTGTACCCAATTCACCACATCTTGTTTTTCATCTACACTGAGAATGGAACCCAAGTATGTTGTGCACAGTTCTTGATAGGATCTATGTCCCTTCCTATTCTTTCACAAGGTTATGTTCTGAAGGAGACAGTCCAGATTCAGTACTATTAAGTTTGACTTGGTCTGCAGATTCTAATTTGAAAATGTTTGCATACATTGGTTTGGTGGAATCTACTAGTTCTACCCTCTCCTTTCCCAAGTGGGGTCCAGGTCCAGTAACATAGTGCTTCCTAGGAATGCTTGAGGGCTTTTATTGTGTCTTCCCTTCTGAACCAAGTGGTTACTGTTCATACTACAAATGGAGCGGTGCTCAAAATCACAACGTGACATAAATTGGAAAAGTGTTCGATAAGTTGTGAGAAAATATTTTTTTTTGGTTTTTCGAGACAGGGTTTCTATGTAGCTTTGGAGGCTGTCCTGGAACTCACTTTGTAGACCAGGCTGGCCTCGAACTCACAGAGATCCGCCTGCCTCTGCCTCCCGAGTGCTGGGATTAAAGGCGTGCGCCACCAACGCCCGGCGTGAGAAAATATTTTTAAGTGGCTCTTCTCTTTTCTTTCCATCGCTACTAGACACTGATTTAATGAGTCAGGCTTGACTGTGTGTATAAGAAATAATAGATGAGATCAGAAATAAGAGTGCAGTGATCCTTAAAAATTAGGTTTAAAAACTAAGAGCACGGTGTTTCTTGGACATTAGGTTTTTAAGAGGTCTTGTTTCTCTAAAGTGAGGAGGCCTTGGTGGAATCTTGCTCCTGATGTCATCCAGCTCCTAGAGCTCTGAAGCTGAAGCAACTGCATTTGCATTGTGAGACAAGGGTTATCTGTAACAAGTCCCTTTCTCTCCTGCCAGCCAGCTCCCAAACAATGACTCGGAGACTACTTATTCATTATGAAAGCTCAACCTATAGCTCAGGCTCGTTCCTAACCAGCTCATATAACTTTAATTAACCATTTACATTAACATACATCCTATAACGTGGCATTACCTCTCTTCCATCTTGCACCTCCTGCTTCCTCTCCACATGTCCTGGCATCTCCCATGCACTTAATCCTCCTCTTCTCTCTCCTTGGAAATCTGCCTATACCTCCTGCCTAGCTATTGGCTGTTCAGCGATTTTATTACAGCAATCACAGCAGTGCACCTTCACACAGTGTACAAATATCCCACAATAGTTATCTGAAATCATGATGCACTGTACCCTCATTAGACAGGAAGCAAAATATCACTGGAAGAAACAGAGCTGATAGCTGCAACCCAGAACCACATGCTCACTTTGTAGCACACATTAAGCAAGACATGAGTCATACACAGAATCAAAGACACAAATCTATCTAGAACAATAGGCTTGAAAACCACCATGCCTAGGAAAGAGCAGACTTCTCCTTAGCCACAGTTTGCAGGGTACATGCTTTAAAATATACCATAGTGCATATTTGTGATTTCTAAATATTTTCCCATTGTGTTTGGTATTGGTTGCCCTGCCATTCTCTACAGAAGACTAGTTAGCAAATACAATGGAAAGCATGGCTTGTACAATTAATAGGAGGAAAGCTGGTTTTCTATGATATGAAGACATGCCCACCCTCAAGATAATGGCCTCTTCTCCAGCAAGTCATTAGGATAAATAAGTTGAGCTTCCCCAAGAAACAAAGCAAGATACACCAATAAAGACCTGCACTATGATTATCTTGCAACACCTGTTTTCACAGGTTTTAAATCAATATCTATCCTGATCTCAATCTAGAAAAGTGTGTAAGATAAAAGGTAAATAATGAGGATAAAAGTTAAAATTACAAAGTATCTTCAGACCCACTTGTTGAGCCGCTTAAATTCAGAAGATCATGAAGACAACATCAAGCAAATTCATGTGCCTAAAACAATGCACAGAGACAGCTGGAGATAGGGTCTATAGAAAGGACTTCTGAGCAACAAATGCAGCTAGGAATTTGCCCCAACACCACAACCAGGGGCTGTTCACTGTGTTGTCTGTGGCCCCAATCACAGATTATACAGAGTAGGAACTGCAGCTTCAGGTTGTATGTCTCTCATTTCTGAGGTTTCCTTTATATCTATTAGTCCCTCATGAGTTGATTCTCCCATGTCCATAATATACAAGCAGAGATAAGTGTTGGAAGGAGGGTTTGAATTATGAAGTATCAAGTATTATGAAGACTCTGCTTTATAATGTTCTGTGATTTTAGTCTGGGTCACACCAATCTTATTTGGATAAATAGAACTGTCAACATGGTTGTCTGACAACAGGAAAGAGTTACACAAACATTGTACCAAAGGAAGGTTTTCTAGTTACCACAGTGAAGTTGTTCCACATAAAATAGTGGAGTCCATACCAGGCTCACAAGTCTAGCCACAGGGAGTTGTTGAACAGCCATAGGTATACCATTAAACAAAATGGCCTCCACCCTTACATCAGTATTTTAAAAACCACTGGAAACCAAAAAATAAATACTCATGTTCAATCTACTTGCCAAAAAGAGGCATCCATAGACCCAGATTCACTTGTAGAAATTATGAATCTTGTATGTTGTTTCCTTCTGCTCCCCCAAATTGAGTCTAAAACCTGTAAAATTTTACAAATATACAAATAGAATAGTTATTCTCACACCTAGCATAGAGGAGAAAATATATTGGCTATCTGGGAAAGCATAAGGTCATAACTACAATTTCGTTGATGACCAAGGGAGACATCCCAAGTTGACTGACTAGCTGCATGACTCAGTCACAGTGTTAGAAGAGTTAGAGATGTAACTTTAATAATGCCTATTTTAGAGATGAGGAAACAGTTTCAGATGAGGCAAATCCACAGTTAATTACTTAGTGACTTTATTTCTGCCCTTAGATCAATCCTAGAAAATACCCTGGGACAAAGAAGAAGCTGTACAATGAAGATTAAATAAAGCATCACTCTGAGTTTTTTAGTTGAGGGCTAATCATTTGGAGTCACATGGCCATCTCCACAGCCTGGTTCCCAGGGTCAGGCATTTAGAGCTTCCAGGCAGTTGTCATCATGATGATGAAGAACACATCTGTGTCAATGGATGCACTCACGCCTGCATAGTAGTTCATGAACTCCTCAGGGGTCACCTGTAGAGAAGTTAGAAGAGAAGAGATACTTTGCTTCTGCTTTTAATAGAGGCCTCCTTTCCATCCCTGTAAAGAGAAGGGGCATGATCACCAAGGATTTCTGTGTGTACGATTGTACTGAGGAACAGACCTAAAACCAAAGCAAAAACCAAACCAAGTTAAAGATGGTGGTGAGAGTGGCTCAGGGCAGAAGTAAGCCTTGATAACCTCCAAGTCGCCCTAAGTGAAGAGTGAGGCATGGGTTGTCATCTTTTCTTTAAGAACTATGACCTGTTGGTTCAGACATAGAGAATAAACTCAGAATAAGAAGTAGATATTCTTCAGCTGCAGGTAATACTGTCTTTCTGCCACTTGTCAGAAGCAAGTCATGTCCAATGTCAGGAGAAGAATGTCCCACCTTTTAAGGAATGCTTTGTCCTGTGGGTAAAGAAAGCAATTTCTAGTAAAATGTGTGATTTGCATGTGTTTTTAAGGTATGAATTGCTCATTCAAGGCTGAGAATGAGCAAAACCATTACGTTTTGCTTCTTTCTTTCCACCCCTCCCCAGGCTCTACTCTGTGCACATGACTGTCTTTGGAATGTCAGCAGAAATGTCTATCCATACCAGGGTTCAGAGAAATCTCCATTTGGAAAAAAGGAAGAAAGTCTAATGAGTTAATAGGAGTTGGCCAATCTCTCAGTCAAAAGATTAAAAGCATAATCACAAGAAAGGAAACTCGTAAAGAAATGAAGAATTGTTTCTAGTTCTCACAGCTTAATCTTTGGAACAATTACTATCTCTTTCATGTACTATAGGGGCTCATTGAACAACATGTTTGGTTTGGTTTTGAAAACCAAACAAAAAGCTGTAAGTTAACCAAGGGACCTACAATGTTTCCCTATACTGTTTCCAAAACTGCCTTCCTCAACGCCAGTAAAAAGATACCAGGAAAAATGACCCTAAACACAGTGGATGGTGGATCTGTGCTCATCCAGCTGTAAATACAAATAAAAACATACAGGTGGGAATTATTGTTTATATGAAAGAGTTTATCATAGGTTGTATTGTGGGGGGGTGCGCATGCGCACATGTGCGTGTGTCTATAAAGGTGTGGTTCATACCGATAATCTCAGCACTCAGGAGGCAGAAGCAGGTGGATCTCTGTGAATTCAAGGCCAACCTGGTCTACAGAGTGAGTGCCAGGACAGGCTCCAAAGCTACACAGAGAAACCCTGTCTCCAAAAACCAAAAACAAAGAAACAAACAAAAACCCAGCCAATTCTTTATGTTTTTAAGATGTTATTAAAACCACAAAAGTTTGGTGGCGGGGGGATGGTTCATCTTTACGATCACTGACTGTTCTTTAAGAGCACCTGGGTTTAATTCCCAGAACCCACAAAAGGCTGAATCACTTTTATGAACATTTATTTTATTATGTCTGTTAAATAAGATATCTGTAAAACCCTCAGCACAACAGCCAGTTGGTAGGTGTTTAAGAAACATTGTTCAGATTCATTGTGGTACTAAATAAGGCTGCATATATATGATGCTTAGTAATGAAAATGAGGCTTTTTCAATATTTTACATCTAATGATCTCAATATGGGTTGATTAAGCACCAATGGAGCATACATTTAACATACAAAGACTTTGGGTACATCTCCCCAAAACCAGACTTAATGCTCCCTCAGTTTAACCAGCCACTCAATGGCAATGAACAGCTAATATTCAACATTATTAAAAATGTCTATGGTATTCAAGCAACATCAAATACTGTAACTACAAAAAAAAAACCTCAATAACCTTTTGAGAATTTGAGAGATCAGCATGGCTGATTGAGATAAAAGTCAGAAGGAGCTGAAGTGGGGACGTTAAATCAGTTGAATCACAAAGGACTACTTGGACGTATTAGAGTCAAAGGCAGCTGACATTTCCCCTGGTGACAAGGAGGAACCACCTGCAAAAGAACCAGAGACAACAGGGACCCAAGTAGACTTGAGCTATTAGGGGAAATGGCAGTTGGCTATTTTTCTCTGACGTCTTGGTAGATCAAAGACAGCAGCACCAGAGGAAACATACAGTTCTGTTATTTCTGTCCTAGACATTTGACTGCCCAACAGAAGCTGGGACTCTTTTGTATCTGCTGTCACAATTCCTCAACCTACCAGACACTACTTCAACTGCTTCTCCATCTCTGACTTGCAAAATGTCAGCGGGAAGGAAACTTCCCCTTTGGAAACTTCCCCTTCCTACGTCCTGTCCTGTGCCTTGATAATAAGACAAGCCATCAGGTTTTGTGGGAAAGGGAGGGGGAAATTCCCTTCAGAAGAAGGCTTGCTTCTTCTTCCCATAAGCACCGCCCCTTCTTAGTGACTGCCCCACTTACCTTTTCTGGTAAGGCCCAAAGATTAAGAGCTGCTGCTGATGCTGCTGAGGCTGAGGGATGCCCCTCCCCCATCGCCCTAACTCTCAGGTCCTCTAAGACAAAAACTTAAAGTCCTTAAACAAGTAGCTTAGGGCTCTTAGCCCATCTCTTCCAATATACAACATCCTGTATACTTGAAGGCAATGATTCATGAAGACGGAGTGAATGCTTTTACGTTGAAGTTCACTGCCATTTAGATGTGCAAACTAATCTCAAAATTTCCTAAAGGATGAGTCAGGGCCAATTCTGCTCTCTGGGATTCCCTTTACCACCAGCTGCTTTTTCACACAGCAAAACACAATGCAAATGATGCTCCTACGGACAAGGGTAAAATGAACCAAACGTCCTGAAAAGCCTTTCATATCTGTTCCAAAGCATCTTGATCCTATTTAAAATTAAGCACTCTTTTATTGTAATCAAATTCATGAGAATACAGCTAGCGGGATATGAGGAGTACAGTGACAGTGAGATGGGCTGATGTCCAAAACACCACACTTTCCATGATGAGCAATTAGCAGCCCATGGATCCCCTAAGGAGAAAGATATGTCTGTTTCAGTATATGTTTGAAACGTAGTATTTTTTCACTTTAGTGTTTAACAGTTCAGATGGCCCCAAGGGAATGTTTCCTTCTAGTTGTAACAGTTATGGTGTCAACATGTTGAACTTTTTTAAGGCTTTGAACCTATTTCTCATCTACAATTTCAATGTGGGTAGATAAACTCCATGTGGAAACATCTTTTTCACTTACCAACCCATCTTTGTCATATGGTGAATCAAAGTTGTCCAGAAATTTCCGGAAGACTTGTTCCTCCGTCCATTCCCCATTTTGATACTTTGGATGGTGTTTAGCATTATAAACTTCTCGAAGGTCTTCAATGGTTATAACACCATCTCCAGTTTTGTCTAACTTCCTAAAAGCTTTCATGATTACCTCTTTTCTGGCTCTGGACATTGGGGGCTAGATAAATTAAAAAATAAAATAAATAAAAATAAACACACACACTTAGATAAATATACATTCAAATGAGTCTCTTCTATGACACATGTGATTCATTATTCTCATCTGTGACGTGAAACCTAAGAGAGATACTTGAGAAAGTCCCTCAGCTGGTTCAGTGTTCCACCCTCAACCCTCTGAAATGTACTAGCATGTTCTGAAAACAAAACCTTAAAGAAGGCAACCCAAACCACACGAAAGCCAAACTCCTCAACAGAAAACATGGATTCATGGGGTGAAGGTTGGGAAAAATACTTACTCGTAATGTGAGAAGAAACTCATTGAAGTCTATGGTCCCGTTTCCATCTCTGTCAAATCTCCGGAAAAGCTCCTCCACCTCTTCTTTTTCCATGACCACAGCATAATCATTTAACCCTTTCAAAAATTCTTTGAAATCAAGGGTTCGGTTGTTATTGTCATCCATGATCCGAAACACTCTGAAGATAACAACATGAAAAAAAAGAAAAGAAAAAACCCCAAAAAGAACAATGTGTTTAAGTGTGAAGATGAAAAAAGTGAACCCCTGCTGTTTGCTTTCAAATATAATACAGTGTTTTAGATTTTTCTCCTCAGACTCACTCTTGAGCTCAGAGGCTGTCAGCATTTCTTCAAACACACATGCACACAAACACACATACACACAGAGAAAGCTATGATTACACTGTTTGATTCTAATTGCATGACATGTGCAATAGTTACCTTTTCTGTCTCCCAAACATCTAGGTGAGAAGGCTTGGCTGTCAGGTGTGGCGGCACTGCTAGAGGTTGGTAGGTCAGACAATTAGAGTCATGCCCCTTACAAAGGAGTCTGGACCCTGCCTGCTTTCTTCTGATTTCCCTCCCAGTCACCCAGAAGACACAGCTTTATTCCTATGCATGCTCCCTGTGCCCTGCCACAGGCCCAAAGCAATGAAGTTAATTTGTCATAAACTGAAGCCTCTGACACTGTGAGCCTTGTAGGTTTATTATCCCTGGCATCTTGTTATAATAATAAAGAACTACTAATATAGGTAACCTTTTCAGGAATCCATGTTTGCTAATAAATCCATAATTTCCTCACTTCCACTTAAACAAATGCCAAAAAAAGGTAAACAAGCAATCGAAGCATAGGGTTTTTTTTTTTTTTAGTTAATCATATTGATCTGGATAAAATCTCCAAAATCTAATGTTAAGCATAAATAAAGCTTCTAATTCTCCACCAGATGTGCACAACCCACATAAACCGTATAAATGCTATTTTGTCTACAGGAAGTCTCTGCTTAGAAACACATCTGTTTTAGCCAAGGAGTCTAATCATTCCAAATACAAGGTACTGTAACTTTTATGAAAGAAATGCTGTCTTCTCATTGATCTTGTTCACCTAAGGTCTCTCTATGAATGTCACACCATACTGTGATGATCTTACTCTTTTCCACTCTTCCCTTCTCCTCCACCATACACCACTCCCCGTACTAAAGCCCTAAGAATTGTATTTTTGCTAAAATCATAGCAGACAGAATTATCACTTGATATTTCAAAAGGATGAGCTTGAGTTCTAGTTCTACAGTAAAGTAACAACAGTGTAGGGAGAAATTTTAGGTGACTGTGCCGCTGACCACGCCCACTTTGGGTGTGGCTAGAGGCGCATTCCAATGTGGTAATAAAAGGCAGTGTAGGAGAGATGCTCGCTCTCTTTCGGGGTTCCGGTATTGGAAAGCTAGCTCACCTGGGTTGCCAGTTTCTCTTGTAAGTACTTTCCACAATAAATAGTTACCCATACCCTCATCAAGTGTGCCGTTTATTTTATAGTTTGGTGTAAGGAATGTTTCGGAACCAGGTCCAGACACCGCAGAAGCGGCTGTGTGCCCTTTATTTTACACAACAGCTATGTAAACTTGAGTATAACTGGGTCTCACTTTCCCATAAAAGTCTATACTGTTGACCCTTCATTGCTAGTTCTGTGTAAAGATGAGAAATTCAGATACAAATGACATGAAAGTAGATGCCTGACTGTGGGAAGAAAGGGAACCAGCAAGGAGAAGTAAAGAAATAGAAGAGAACAATGGGGAGAAATCAACTAGAATGGAGATATATATGTATAAAATATCATGATTTTATACTGAATGGCAATGATAAACATAAAAATAAGTAAAATGTTAGACTCTTATTCATTTATATTTAATATCTTATTTTAAAAGCTAGAAATAACACTTGGGATATTGTATAAGTAAATAAGTACATCATACAGACTTGAACATGGATTATAGGGCAGCAGAGCCCATCTCTATGTTTTTTATTGTTACAAATTTACTGTGTAGCAGTCACTCTATTAATATTCACCAGATAGATGAGTTTGTGAATAAACTTTCACACTACAAGAAAGAGGCTGGTATATTTCTTTTTTAATGATAAATTTGGAATAAATAAATTGCTAACACCTCTTGGTTTATTCAACAAACTTTAACATCAGTTAGGCATCTTATAAGCTGAAAAACATTGCATTAAACATTGTAATGTGAAATACATAGGTGAACAAAACACAGACTCTATCCTTAAGGAATTTATTCAGAGTCAGAAAGATGGGAGGGATAGAGCAATTAGCTATTCTGAGTTCTTGCAAATTAAGCATTTCAGATTGAAAGTGGTTTGTAGAAGATCCCTTGACCATCTGTGGAAGCAAGAAGACAGCCACCAAAGGTTGAAAGAGATGCAATAAATATGGACAAGTGGGTCATTAGAAGAATATAAAGAATTTTAATGACTTGAAGTTCGAAAGGGCTTAAACTTTGCTACATGTTAAAAAGTAACTGCTTAAAACAAGCTAAATTTTAGAGGCCCTTAGAAAGAGCTGGTTGAAGCAATTCAGATGACAGTATGAGACGAGACCTCAAAATGCTGTAGAAACCAAACCATCAGTGTGGTAGACTGATGAAGATAATTCTCAATTTTCCAGCTCAAGAGATCATGAGTATTGATATCTCCATATACAGAAAGGAGTGATTCATCTTGCTTTTGGATAGTAAAGCAACTAACTGAGATTTTCACTAGTTGCCAATTAGTTAAAAACTTAGAATGTCTTTTCTGATATAAAATATAAATTAGAGCTCAAGAGAGGATTTTCTGCCAGGTTTGTACAGGGACACAGAGTAAAGATGAGTTCTGTCTGCCATCTATAAAACATAAGTTGAATTCAGGATATTGGCAATAGGAGCTATCTGTATTTCTTGGATAGAAGGAAGTGTTTAAGGAAGAATATATACTATTGAAATTCTCCAGACTTCAGTGTCAAAAAGTAAAGATGCCAAAATGGAAATAGATCATCTTGATGCTGACCTTCAGAATAAATACTCAAGGCAGGGTGGACAAATACTTCCACAAGAGTATGCTTCACAGAATGAGCACTCTGGAGCTTAGTAGATGGTAGATACTAACTAAAGAGATAATCTTCAAAGGAAAGATTGGTGATAATGTTTGTGTTTGTGAGGGTATATTTACTGGAGTTTGGACTTAGAAGAAAAGGGAGTTCTAGAGGACAGACTCAGGGAGACCAAGGCCAACAATAAGGGAGACAGAAGGCAGTTAAGCAGAAAGCCCAGGGTGCGATGGTGGCAGCTCCCAGTGGAAGGGCTAGCTTAGATGAAGATGGAGTGGTTACAAAAGGTGGGAATGGTGTGGGCAGCAGAAGAATCCAATTGCATGATTGTTAGTGGAACACACATCAGGGTTCCTCAGAGATCTACACTCAAGACAAGGAAGTGAACCCAAGATGGACTTAGAGGTTGGAACCACACAACACTAAAACAAAGTGGTTGTGATAGCATGTATGGCAAGGTCCATGTGTCTACAGTCTTGAAACTCTAACAGAACCAAGCTTAGTTTAAGAAAAGCATGGAAGTGCCTTGTGTATTTGTTTCTTGGAAGTTTTTGGAGGGGCTTCCCTAGGTGTCCAGTACTGGGAATAAAGTTTCTTCAGCACCTGGGTGTGAGGTTGGCTTCTCCTTACTTAGACATCCTGTACTTCTTTATCAAACATCTTCTCATACCACTGAAAGGCACACTTAGAACATGTTTACTCCCTTAGTCTCAGTCCTCCATGGGACCGGCAGAATCTTGTCCACCCATAAGGCCCCCAAAACATGTTCAAGGACAGGCTTATGGTAGGCATTCATTATAATTTGTTAAAACACACAAGAGTCATTCTTAGGAGGCTCACAGTCTCCTTTCCCCTTTGATTTTCAGTCCTGGGGTCTGTTCACACTATCAAATATCAGAGAATGTAATGAGAATCGTCTGACCCGTAGAATACTACTGGGGGTAAACACTGAATTATCCCATGGGCAGTTACAGTGGCAAGTGAGACATGACAGCCTGGCTGGGAGCAAACTCCAAATTCTCTTTTAGACAAGATCTCATGTAGCCAAGTCTGCTGGCCTCAACTCATTACATAGCCAGCAATGACAGTGAACTGCTAAATCTCTTGCCTTCACCTCCCAAGTGCTGGGTAACAGGCTTGTGCCAACAATCCTATTTTTCCAAATTCTTTTTTTTTTTAATTTTATTTTCCAGTTTAAATTTAGATAAGAATCAAGGTTGCTTCACAAGTCAGTTCCAGGTCCCTCTCCCATTCCCTCCCTTCCTCCCGTGCCCTCCCCTCCCCCCCCGTTATCCTCTCATTTCTCCAGGGAGGGTGAGGCCCTCCATGGGGGTGTCCATAGTGTGTCATTTCATATAGGGCAGGGCCTAGACCCTTTCCCAAGAGTTCTGGGTGAGAGTGCTCCTCACATTGTTCTATTGGAGTCCAAAGTCCGTGTGTAAACTTGGGATGGGTACTGATCTGCTGCCCAAGGCTCAATAGATTCCCTAGGCCTCTTCACTGACACCCAGATTCAGGGGGTCTTGATCAGTCCCATGCTGGCTTCCCAGGCTAATGCCTGGGATTCAAGAGTTAACCTTTGTCTGGTCAGCTGTTTCTGGGGGTTAAACCAGCCCAGTCTTAATTCCTTTGATCATCAGTCCTCCCTCTCTGTTACTGGCTTTCTTGAGTTCAGCTCAGTACTTAACCAAGGGAGTCTGCCTCTTCTTCGATCAGCCACTAAATAAAGTTTCCGTTTCCCAGACTCTCTGGCCATAGGATTGTAGGCTGGCACTCCCCAGATCTATGTCTAAAATCCATATATGAGAGAGTACATGCCATGTTTCTCTTTTTGTGACTGGGTTACCTCACTCAGGATGGTTTCTTCTAGTGTCATCCATTTGCCTGCGAATCTCATGATTCCATTATTTTTTTCTGCTGAATAGTACTCCATTGTGTAGATGTTAATCATTAATTATTCCACCTCCTTCTACCACAGCTTTGGGGAGGACCTGTCTCCTAGTCCTTCCAGGTGTCCATACTCTTGGCATGCTTTTCTTTACTTCCATTGCCTCAGAAGCTTCCTTTCCTTGGAACAGACACGTGCTTTGCTGAATTAAAGGTTAAGAACCAAGCACTGTCATGAAGACTCAGAGATCAGATCTCCCAAACAACAAATTTCACAGGTAAGAAACTGAGGCGTTAAGAGGATATGATTTGCCCAATTTCACAAAATCAACATAAGGCTTGCCTAGACAATTCTGATCTTTCTATTTTATTTTGCTGTATCCTAGCTGTGGTGGCTTGAAGCAGAATGACTGCTATAGGCTCATATGCTTGAATTTTTGGTCCCCGTTTGGTGGACCTGTTTGGGAAATATTAAGAGGAGTGACCTTATGGGAGGAGATGTATCACTGGGAGTGGGCTTTGAGGTTTCAAAACCACACACCATACCCAGTTACATCTCTCTGCATCCTGTTTGTGGATTGGGATGTTAGCGCTCAGCCACTACTCTAGCACCATGCCTGCTTGCCTGCTGCCATGCTCCCTGCTATGATGGTCATGGACTCTAACCATCTAGAACCATTCATGTCCCAAATTAAATGTTTTTTTTAATAAGTTGCCTTAGTCATAGTGTTTTGTCACTACAATAGAAAAGTAACTAAGACACTATCCTACCTGCCAAGACCTTTGATGCCTGCAGAGCCCCTGGCTAGGCATTGCAATCGAAGTCTTTCAATAGGATCAGTAGCCGTAGAGAGCTTTTTCTTGGATTGGATTGCCATCTCACGGTCATGGCGTGCTGTCCCTGCCATCTGAAAGAAGAATCCACAGCATGTTAATGGAATTCAGACCCTACTGCCCACTAGACAATCGACGGAATAAAACTTACAGCTCTCTGTCATCCTGCCCTCAGGAAATAGCCTCAAACTTCCTAGAATTTACAATGTTTAACTATGCCAATTGTGTACCTGGCATATTTACAACTTACATAGTTTCAATGGCACATGCTGACTTCACTCTGGACAATAATGAAGTACACAAACATTTTCCAATACACTTTGATCTTTCGGAAGCCTGTCTTCCTCCACATAACCACTTCCCCCATAGTGAAAGGAAAGGGGCCAGGAAAAGCTACAAATGGAAAGAGTTCAGAAGCTGCTAAGGATGCTAAACTTGAACAAATCAGGACGTATGTATATATGGAAGTGAGAGAAACTATTTGGCCTATAACATTAGTAGGAATTAATAGTGAATTTCTCAGTACTAACTTGTTTGAATCAATTGTGATATATATGCATATATATTCACAGTTACAGTTATTTATTTATAATGTCCTATATACCTTTGATCCTACATTTAATGTTCTCCTCTGTGTTTTAAATGCTTAGTTCTGTTGCTTTTGTCTTCACTGAGAGTCTCAACATGAGTGTTAGTGATGCTTATTTACTCGAACACTCGCTTTAGTAGGCTAATGCCCCTTGATACCAACACACACACACACACACACACACACACACACACACACACACACACACCACCCCTTTCTCCCCTAGTTGATCTTTTCCAGAAATATTCAGAAACAGGAAAAGTGACCTGGGCAGTCCAGACTTGGGTTCTCAGAACTCTGACTTCAGTGGGAAGAGCCTAAGACCAACAACCTAGAAACCTGGACTTTGGTCTTGCTGCTCCAAACCCATCCCTGGTGAATCTGAGTTTAAGAAAAAGTTTCCATTATCTATTGCCAGTGATAGTACAGATGCAGGGTAGACGGTAGAGAGTAGAGACCAGAGAACACACAGTACCAGGATCTGGGTCTGCTCAGCATCCAGTGAGGGGCTTTTCACTGCATCATGGAGGGCATCCCATGCCATAGCAGGACAAGCATGTCAGCCCTATGCCCCCTTCTCTCTTGATAAATCCATACTATAACCATCATGGAGGGCATCACACGCCCCAGCGGAACAATCATGTCAGCCCTAGACCCCCTTCTCTTTTCGTGAAACCACACTGTAGCCATCGTGGAGGCCCCACTCTGTGGACTTCTTTTAACTTTAATTATATCACAAAGGTCCCACCTAAAAGTGTCATTAACACATAGACACATGAATTTTGGAGGACACATTAAATCACAGCAGGAAACAAGTATGGCTAGGTAAAATGACTTTCCTATAAATCCTGAGTCCCAGCAGGGTTCTTTCTCCTCCACCATTTGTAAGAATATGTAAGAAATTCAAAGTGTAATCTGCTGGTACTTCCTTATGCAAAATCAAAATAGACTTTGGGAAGACCAGACACTGGGATTTAAACTGCAACCACTTCGGCCTTCTGAGGCCAATTCCACCAGGGATGACAGAGACTGATGCTTCTGGACATAAATTCAGAGGAAAAACTACAGCCAAGCATTGTACTTGAGCTGCCCAATTTACCATCGTTTTTTCATCATTTAGTCACTTAATTCATCAACAAACAAGTCAATATCACCTATGTCCTCTTTGCAATGTACTATGTTAGGGCAGAAGTTAGGAGTGTGAGGGGTAACTCAGAGAATCAATCTCTTGAATAGCATAGAATCTTCATTTGAATTTTGAAGCCTCATATTAAGACAGAAGAGGAAAGAAATAAAGACCTGGGATTTGAGAGGAGGGCAAGACATACTCAGAGCTCTGAGGTTTGAATAACATATCTGCTGTAGTCTCTGTATATGATGTCATGATGTCACTGACATCACAGCCCCAACAAAAGTGTGTCTGATCCAAAATACACCTCTGACCGTGGTGACAACAGTATCATCTGTCAGGCTGCACCAGCTTCTGGAGGCAGTCCTTCCCAATGCATGTGGCCACAGCACCACCATGTGTTGGCTCATGACATGTACAGGTGCCTTTTCAGAGGCACAGTTCAGCCCGTTCAACAAGCCTCTACCCAGTCTGCTAGGTTTGAAGCAAAAGGGAACAGAGACAGTCTTCACAGCTGACAATCTCCCTCTAGTCCCACTACTGAACTACAGTTCACCCCAACAAAAAAGCACAGGTATCCCAGTTTCTAGATGGGGACTTTCTGAGACACCAGAGAGGAAAGGATGCCCACATTTTACTCATAAGAGAAGGTAAAACAATGTCTAGGCTAGGGCTGTGAGTGTACAGCCAGGATGGACGCCATATATTTTATATGGCTGGTACGCCACATGCTTTGGCCAAAGTAAATGATTAAATAGCCTAAGTAGAGAAGTACGCCATTTTATTTTTATTTCATTTGCACATGCGCCTCTATGTACATATATGTCACATCTATGAGAAGTCACAGATTATGGAACATACAGGCTAGATGAGTTTGTTGTGTCCCATATGCTGCCTGGACCCTGCAGACAGTGATGGGTCCATTTAAAATGCCAAGTGACTGACCTTGAGATTTGAGGAGAAGAAAGGACTAGGGCAATATCTAGAGCTGCTGGTTGCCTCTGCCTCCCCCCACAAACATCATCCCATACCCACAATGGCAGGGGAAGGGACATTCACAGCCCAGCAAAAGGCTAGCCTTGAAGTTCTTGGGCAGAGGCTGAGTGGAGACTGGTGGCACTGGTCCTGTGCAGGCTGTCTCATTCCACTGCTCTTTTGCACAGCCGGCGTCCACTGTGAGAGTTCTCAGCCTGGATTTCCACCATTCTTCTCAAGTGGGATGTGGAAACACAGAGTTCTGCTTCTGAGAGCATTTCTTTCCTTCTTTCTTTCTTTCTTCCTTCCTTCCTTCCTCCCTCCCTCCCTCCCTTCCTTGCTTCCTTCTTTCTTTCCTTCCTTCCTTCTTCCTTCCTTTCTTTCTTTCTTTTGATGATGATGTATAACCTTGAAGTCTTTTAAATTAATTTTTATTTATATAAAAAATAATCCTATATTGCATACCAGCCCCAGTTCCCTCTCCCTCCCATCCTCCCATTTCACCCAGCAACTCCCATCCCATTCCCATCCACTCCTCATGGAGGGTAAGTGTTGTGGGATTCTTGCCTGGGTCCAGTTGCCACTTCAGAGCCCCCAAATAAACACACAAAACTTATATTAGTTACAATGATGTCAGCCAATGTCCAGGGCTTCTCATTGTCTAGTTCTGCCTTAAGTATTAACCATAACTACTAATATGTATATTTTTACAAGGACTTATCTTTACAAGAATGCCAGACTCAAGTGTCTTCTCCTCCTGGGATCACATAGTGACTCTCTACTACATTTCCCAGAATCCTCCTTCTCTCCTAGTCCCACCTATCTTGCTTCCCTATTGGTCAACAGTATTTTATTCATCAACCAAGAAAAGAGACATATTTACAGACTGACATCTCCCACCATCTCCTCTTTTCTGTCTAAACAAAAAGAAAGGTTTGAACTTTAACATAGTCAAATTATATATAATGAAACAGTTATCAAGCAAGAACTATAGTTACACTATTTAGCCCATTAACATTTAGCAAGATATAAAGAAAATATTCTATCATCTATCTTATCTTTGTGAGTTTAAAGTCATATATAACTTATCTTTTATCATAACTAAGGAAAACTATAACCATGACTATTTGTCTTCAACTCCATAAAAGACCACAGAAGGATAATATATAAACTCTAGAACTGACAGAGAGCAAAGCTGGTTGCCCCTACGCTGCTGTGAAACCTTGGGTGACTGTCCAGGTAGCCTGATGTTTCTGTCTTCACTGCACTTTTGGAAGTTGCTCACCTGTACTTCCTGCCTACCCTAGTATTATTATCCTCCTTCTCAGGTCTTTGATGAGGTTGAAGATTAGAGTGTCACAATTATTGGTCTCTCTTCCTAGATAGAAATATTAGGTAAAGACTTAAACTTTCCAGCTTAGGACAACTCTATAGTAATCTCTGTTATGTCTTTACCCTAGGACTGCATATGTAGTTCTTGCTATTTGCTCTTGTTGCTTCACTGGCGATAGGTGTGTTTGTTCTTATTTTCCTTCTCCTAGAGCATACTTGAATTTTGCTGTCCTTGTATATAGTTTTGTGTCAAGTCTAAATCTTCTCTTTAGACTAAAAGGGGAATTGTAGGGAGAGAGCTAACCTATGGCGCTGACCATGCCCATTTGGGCCTCATCACAGGTGTGGAAGTGAGGTGGGGAATTTAGGCTGGTGTGCTCTCTCTGGCTGCTGGCCAGGTCATGGGAAACAGCTTGGGAGGATCCTGGGAGCCGGAACGTGTGGCAGCCTCTTCTGTAAGTGGAATCTCTCCAAATAAATATTTTAGCCTGTATTGGTTCTATTGAATCTCAATTCCTGTGTGCCCCCTACAGATGAGGCCTCTGGGAGCATTTCTTAAAGGTTCTGTGTAGGCTGACCCTTAGAACAGAGATTCACTAAGGCCCTGTCCTACACTTCTGATGCATTTCATTGGGTTCTCTTTAGTGCTACCTGGTGGCAGAAAATTAAACTACTCCTTCCTCCCTTCCTTCCTCCCTTCCCTCCCTACCTCTCTCATGCACTACACAGACAGCAACCTGTAAACACAAAAGTAGACCCAATCATCAAAGTGCCCTCTAGCATATTAACTGACACATCCTAAAACACCAAATAATAACACCCAGGTTACTATTAAGACCAAAGAAATGTCTTACTGCATCTTCAAAAATGCAACCCCATCCTTGGTTTCTCTGGCACGTAATCAAGGGAACTGGTGCAGCTTTGTCCTGCTCAAATAAAACTACAAGAAAGAAGTCAATCTGGGGAGATGCAGAGAGGAGAGAGGGCAGAATCACATAATGGAAGGCTGAGCGAAGCATGTGCAGGGCTGGTGCAGGGAATATGTGCCA